AGGCTGAAGCCTATATTATTTAGTGTGCTATGAAGATTTCTAGTCAAAACCCCATCCAGCATACCCTGACTTAACACTTGACTTCTTTCAATTCCTCAGAGGTAAAAATCATTGCTCATGCTGTTGCCTACCTTCTCCTCCAACCCCACACTGTAAAATGACAAGCTCCTCCACATCCCATCAAGAACATGTAATACTGCCTCTGTAAGCACACGGACCCAACTCCTTTGCAGTACTTTCTTAGTCTCCTTTACTACAACAGAAGCTTTGCAAAGAATTTTACTTATCCACCTTTTTACCCCTTAGCACATAATTAGCTCGTAACATCATATTTGTTGAAATAAACTGGAAATAGAAGTACCAAAGAGTCAAAATCCTGTGGCTGAAGGTCATGGTCTACACCATTCCAGTTCTGTCACTTACAAACAGAATGATCTTGGACAAATTATTTACCCTCTCTTAACCTGGTAGTTTCAATATAGAAGGGGAAAAATGCAACTTTCCTTGGTGCAAGATACAAACAACACATGAAGAACCAGGTTGAGTACTGACTGGCACAGGATACCAGGTAATAAAGGGTAATTTAGCTTCAGAGGTGGTCAGTTCCAGCCCAAACAGATCAGACCAGAAAACGAGTGTCTCCCTCTTCTTCCACAAAGAGAGAAGCCCGAACTGCGTTTATTTTACTTTATGTACCTGCTGTGGCTTAAAAGCAAAATCCTCTTCACTCTATTTTCTCTTGCCAAATTCTAGTTTTCCTCTTTTCTAACGTTCCCCAATAGAAGTATCACCATAAAGAAAAGAGTCAGAAAGGAAAGGACTTAAAACTCAAGACAGCCTGTGGTCAAATAAGGAAGAACAGCTTGACTGCCACTGTTTCAACTGTGGAACAGACTCAAAAAAAATTCTTGGTAAAATGTCAAGTAGGGAAAGAAGTCAGGCCTGGGGAGGGGCGCCATGACCTCACACTGGATGATGAACCTCTAGTGAACTACACCTTTCCAGAACACTCCCCCAGTGAGAAGCTGTCAGTTACTGTGCTACAACACCAGACAATAGAAAAAGGCAAATGAAATGAGAGCCCTGAGTGTCATCAGCTGTGAAAGAAGAGAAAGGAATGTTCCTTAAAGCTTTCTCAGCTTGTGGAAACAGCATGCAGGGCCAGGCGGTATTGATGGAAACTAATGGGATCACCATGTTTCAACGTAATGGCATACTGCTGTTCAAACTTTATTAAAAAATGCAGCATGCAGTAGTTGTTTTTATTCTAGAGAACCAAGATAGCATGGAAGTGAAAACACATAGGTTCTGGACCCCAAGTGCCTGAATTTGAATCCCATTTCCTATACCTACTAGCTGTGTGGCCTTGGGCAAGTTACCTAGCCTCTCTGTACCTCAATTTTTACCACCTGGAAAATAAGGATGACAAATCAACAATGGTACCTACACTCCATAGGGGTTTTATTTACAATTACTAATTTGTAATGTAGAATTGTACTGGGCACATGATAATGCTACTTAACTACTTGACAAAATTATTAAGATTCAGTATTCATTCAAAACCAACTTATCCTCATGCTTACCAACTGGTATTATAAGTATAAATCTCAAAGATGCTTTTATTTTTAAATTGACTCCTAGGAATTCAGTTGTTGCCCAACAAACCCTTCTCTTGATCATGAATACTGAACAGGTCTTAAAGGTCATTCTGACATAGTAACAGTGGAAACTGAAGGCTTTCCGCATGGTTAATCAAACCATAATCAATCCCAGAATAAATGAAAGTGAAACAAATGTATTGTTTACTGAGCATGCACTGTAGCCATTCTCCAAGCTGCTGAGTTTTGAATAGAAGGCACAGGTAATAAAGGTCTAGTCAGGTCTGGCTCCCGTACAGTTGAATAAAGTGGCATTTACCAAAGTGAATTCACTATGGTTCTCTCTGGTCTTCAGTTCTGAAGACTCAGAAACTTGATTCTAACACCACATCCATTCATTCATCAATTATGTACTGATCACCTATTTATGCCAGCAATGTGAGAACACAGACAACAAAGCATTACAATCCCTGTCATCCTTGACAAAGCTGACAATCCAGCAAAGAAGATATTAGACATTAGAAACCACAAGCCAAAGTGGTGGTGGTGTATGGGTGTGGGGGGGGGGGACAAGCAAGATTGTAAATAGACAAGTTTACACTGAGCTGAGCTTTGCGTAGAACAGAACTCTAGAACAGAACTCTTGTATCTACAAGCCGGTCTTCACCATATAACAATGGGGAGGGACACAACCCAAGCAAGGAGTACTACACTAAGTGAATGGAATGGCCTTAGGCATCACCTTGACAAACAGCCGGCTGTTTAGGATTGGGGAATCCCTATTCTAAGCTTTCCAACCACTCCCATCCACATCCTGCCCATTCTCCCATTCTCACTATTTTTCTCAGTTTATTGAATTGCTGCTTCCTATATTACAATCACATTCCCACCTTGCCCTATCAAATTTCTTCACCTCACGTGGAGTTTTCCACTAAAACTTCTTCTTTTTTCACAGCTGAAGAAATAATGTTCTTAATTCCAGAAGAGGTTAACTGCATTCTAGAGTCTATTACAAAGTTTAATATCTCAGAGGGCAATATCATTTCTGCCATTTTCAGGTTTGGGTTTGTGCAGTGGTGGCAGGTGTAGAAAGGGTGATTAGGGCAGAAGTACACTGAAAGTACAGTGCACTACAGTGCACTCAAAATAATTATCTCAACTTGCAAAACAACCCAATGAGGCACAAAAGTTAAGTTTACATGAATCATTAATTATATTGCAAAACAAACTATGCCAGACATTACACAAAGGTCAAAATTAAAACAAGAACTTGGCAGGTTCATAGTCCAAATTCAGCAGTCATTTACCGCTGGTGGTTCTATAAACTACAAGCAGCACTTGATGTCATAAAAGAAAAAGCACATGCATATGAAAAGTGTCCATCAAACATTTAGACCATTAGCAAGAAAACATTAGAGTTAATACAGAAGTAAAATGTCTCATGTTACTTAACTTCATACAAAAATAATATCTGTGGTAACTAAGGTGTTTTTCATTTGTATCATGGAAAATAAGCTCTGTGGCACAAGGATGCTCAAAATCTTATTGATAATTAAACATACAGGGAAACTGGGCAGAATAAGACAATCTGACATCTGAGATGTTATGGTCCCCAGTGGACAGACTGCCTAAGTATTCCAGTTGGTTAGACACGGCTTTGGTTATACCAACAATTCCAAGGCCTAGTTCTCATTCTTAAAGGTCTACAAAAGGTCCTAATCAATACAGCCAGAGATGATCTCTGTAATGTATTTTCCCTAATCAAAACAGAATGTGTCAATGCACAAACCAATTTGCTGATTCACTTAATGATAATTAGGGCTTTATCTCCCAGAATTTCAGAAGAACCACATAATCCCCAGTTACATTTCCTTGGTTAAAATCCCAGGTTACATTCCCTGCTTTCTAAAGAGCAAAAGGGATTATAGAAACTCACTGAATTTCTGTAGGGAAAAAAAATGAATTAAAAGGTGCTTGTTTTGCAGTCATAGAGATCAAACCCAGGGCCTCGTGCATACGAGGCCAGTGTTCTACTACTGAGATATATACATCCCCAACCCCTTCAAGTTTTTAAAAAATATTTTAAAAATATGATCAAACATTAATCTGAATATAGTCCATGGAGAATATATAATTTAATTTAAACAAATTCTCATTAAGTTAACTTTCAAAATGGGCACTCAAAGCTGCAAAAGAAATGTTTTGTGTCTGTCCTTTAGGTGGGAATAATAACATAGGCCAGCCAGAGCCTAGAACTTACTAGATATTCTTCAATTCTTTTCTGAGAAGGTAAGTGTATGAAAACATACATCCCTGATAATCACCATGACTTTTTCATCTAGGAAAACTAATACTTTAAATTTAAAGGCAAAAAGTTATTTGAGTCTACAAAAAGAATAAAATATTGGCTTTCAAACAAGATATATGAATTAACATCCATTACTACAAAGAGATAAATTTTAAAAACATAAAATGTTCATGAGGGTGACTGTCACAACATGTCATTAATTCCAATCTTTGTTCATTAACTCTATATGAAACCTTGATAAACTTGCCTATAAGGTAATAATTATCATAGAATATAAATAACAACTTAGTTAAAATAGACTAATAAAAATAACTATATATGAAAGCCATTCATACTACATAAAGCATTCTACCTGAAAATCTGTAATACAGAGACTGTGAGGCAAAGTTCCATAATTTAGGTTCTAAGAAATCCTTCAAAAGCTAAATGAATCTGATAGGTTACATATTGTGGTGCTTTCAATACTAGACAACCAAACTCTTCAGTGACATCTTCCCTATCATCATCATTTATCCTATAGCACTGACACGGAACTTTAGATAATTCTGTAACTGCAGAAATACTGGTAAGCTGATTTTGCCACAGACATTTGATATAGAGCTAACCTCATCCCCTCATAATTCCTGCACATGCACCAGGTGAATATTCTTTTTTTTTTAATTGGTTGTTCAAAACATTACAAAGCTCATAATATATCATCTTTCATACATTTGACTCAAGTGGGTTATGAACTCCCATTTTTACCCCAAATACAAATTGCAGAATCACATCGGTTACACACTCACATTTTTACATAATGGCATATTAGTGACTGTTGTATTCTGCTACCTTTCCTATCCCCTACTATCCCCCCTCCCCTCCCCTCCCATCTTCCCTCTCTACCTCATCTGCTGTTGTTCAATTCTCTCCCTTGTTTCCCCCCCACACTTTCCCTTCACAACCTCTTATGTGTAATTTTGTGTAACATTGAGGGTCTCCTACCATTTCCATCAGGTGAATATTCACATTGTTATTTACTGCTATTATAATCTAATGTGGTTTATATTAAGACATTGAATATCCATAAAGGAAGCTATAGTCAAGACAAAACTTACCGAGCACAATGACCACAGTCTTCAGAAGACTCATCATAGTGTCCCGATTCCGACGGGGTCCAGAACTGTGCCGAGACATTCTCATAGTCCTCTGGCGAACGTAGCCAAAGATGTGAGCATAGAGAACCACCATTACTACAAAGGTCACCAAATTGAAAATGGCCCAGAAGACTAAGTAAGAGTCACTGTAGAGGGGTGCCATGTTGGAACAATTATCAATATCACAGATGCAGTTCCAGCCCACACTGGGTATAGCACCCATAACAATGGCCATAGTCCAGATGACCACAATGACCACCACCACCCGCCGATTGCTCATCCGTGTATGGAGCTGCATGCGGAAAACCGTAATGTGCCTCTCGATTGCAATAGCCAGTAAGTTGGCTACAGATGCTGTCAGGCTGGTGTCAATGAGGCCCTGACGGAGGAGCCATGTGCTAACGGTCAGTCTCCGAGTATTGGGGCCTGTGTTGAACATTAGATAGAAGTAGGCCAACCCAGCAAAGAAGTCTGCAGCAGCCAAATTGGCCATTAAGTAATAAATAGGAAAATGGAAGCGACGGTTGACGTATATTGCCACCATGACCAGTAGGTTGGCCAACATGATGAAGATACAAACTGTGATCCCAAGTCCCATCACCAGCTTGCTGACCGTGTTCCATTCTGTGGCAAGATACTTTCCACTCCGGTTATAGAAGAAGGCGATAGACTCATTGTAGAAGCACTGTGGTTGATTCATGGCTGTGAACTAAAAGAAAAAGGAGGAAAGATGATGAAAAGAGAAAAAAGAAACCACAGATCCAAATTTAAAGATGTACAGATAACATGAGACTTCTCTGGTACATGCAGCAGAAAACAAAAGCAAAGAATTTGAAAATCTGATCCTGCATAACATCCTGTGATTATACTCATACCCTAAGGTTTCTCACAGTCCACAAGATTAAAGACAGTTGGAGTTAAATAAATGACAAGGTCTCTGCTTGGTGGTTGCATGTCATTGAAGTCTACTAGAAAAGCCACATGGCCCAGAAATCTTGCTTAAAATACACGAGACAGACAAAATTTTTGCAGAACATTGCAATTGAACTATTTGCCATAGTAAAATCTATTTTCATCTGTTATTTAGGGAATCTGTAAACAGAGGTGGTTTATATATAGGGTATCATTGCCCTATTATTCTACATTTCTATTCTCACATAGTATGTTCAGTCTGTGATGGACATTTGGTAATGCAGGTTCCCACAAGCACCATCAGTTCCAACATTTCAAAGAGGTCACTATGCATCAAAGGTTCTCTGGCCAAAGCCAGCATTTGCTGCTCAACATTCCTGTGGTCAGCACAGCTTACCCCCAAGACTCCTCAGCCCCAGAATAGCATTCATCAACCAACCTATGATACTAGAGAACAACTTCTTTTTGGAGGACCTAATGTAACCTCCAAGGAACAGTTGATATTTGACACTACTCTACAAGAAGTAGAATATATTTAGATTAGATGAAGTATATCTTTTCAAATGTGGAGTGACAAAACTTTATAACATGTTAACTTATTTTTCAGCATCAGTGATCAGAATATATTTGCTTATTATTTATACTCTCACTTGAATCCAGAAGGGATTGAGATAGTCTAAAATAGAATAATAAGGGTAGTCAATAAAACTAAAACAAAATTAGAAAACAAAAGGTAACAGAGAAGAAACCAGAAAATTACACATCTCCTAGAAAAAAATCATTCTGCCTGAAACCTTAAGTTTGTCTGAGACTTCTAAATATAGAAAATATTTCTTGAAGATACTGCACATTCTGCCTTTTTTTTTTTGCTTTGCTTCTAGTAAATTACCTAGCAAATATGACAGTTTTAACTACTATTTTGATAAAATATTCTACTGAATATTGATAGGTTATGCATTTCATGTTTACAAAACATGGAAAATTTCAAAACATCTAAGTGGCTAGTCTTTGGACATGTCCAGACATATAAAGTCTCTTTCCTTATCTAGACTTTAATAGTTTGAGATCACACTTCTACCATTATACATAACATGCTGTATAATTATTGACCTCTTTACTTTTCCATTCATTAAAGATCCACAGATCCAGGGGCAAAGTAAGGACATTGTTTTGCTCCTCATAGTATCTCATGTACCTTTCACAGTGTCTCACCCATTAGATATCAGAGAGCTTGGCTTATAGTGTTCCCATCTACCCTATATCTTGTCATTATTCTGGCTAATCTAATTTTCTTGCCTTTCATTTTCTTGACCTCATTTCTAATGACCTTTTCTTCTATTACAGCTCAGCCGCCCACAGCGATGGTCATACCCTGCAACCACCTAGAACTGACTCCCTTTGAAAATACTTGTGAAATTCTAATTGCTCATTATGATTTCCTATTCTTCAAATTATCTCACTGGAACTCCAGTACTTAGGTTTTTCGTTTGTTTGTTTTGTTTTTGTTTTGGTACTAGGGATTGAACCCAGGGGTGCTCAACCACTGAGTCACATCCCCAGGCCTTTTTATTTTTTATTTTGAGGCAGATCTCACTAAGTTGCTTAGGGCCTCCCTAAGTTGCTGAGGCTAGCTTTGAATTTACAATCCTCCTGTCTCAGCCTCCTGAGCCACTGGGATTACAGGTGTGCATCACCACACCCAGAAGAACCTTGATTCTATGAAATTATCTATTTCCTTGACCCTTCTACTTTTCCCAATGAAATACCCTTCCCACCTTCTCCTTTTCTCTTGTCCAGCTTAAATTCCATAATAATTCATTTCAACTTCTTTATTGCTAACACAGGAACCAGTCCCTTCCTGAAGAAATTGGGGCCAGATGTCTTTCACAATTCAGAATTTTTCTGGTTTTAAGAACAGTTATATGTGCATATTTCATGTATAGCATCCCCAGTAGAGGTTGAGGCAGCACTCCATAATCACACATATTGATTTGTGAGGCAAAACATATGAATATATATTAAATTTGATAAGTGAAGGCTATAAATAGCCTCAGGTAAATTATTTCAGAGTTTTGCTACCAAATGAGTTATAAACTAATGGGGGTGATAACCAACATCTCATTGGGCAGTTAGAACTAAAACTTAAAGTCTCAAATAATTAATGAATAACAAAACACAAATATTCAGGAATATATTTATAAAAGCAAAGCCCCTGATAGATCTAGTCCACATGGGTGCTAGAACTAGACAAAGAAAAGATGGCTCTGGTGTTTATTTAAGGGGGTAAATCAAAGGCAGGAATAAGGTTTCAAGGGTGAAGTCTTACTTCATGATGTCTTGCAGTCTGCAGGTTGATTGACATCTTGGTACGTCACACCTATCTCAGGTGCTGTGTGGGCCATGGCAGAGTGGGATAGAAATTCACACTGTCTCTGGGCAATTGACCAGAGAAAATGTCCACTGGTCATCCCAGAGACACCAGATATTTCTATCCACTAGGCTTCCAAGCACGGTGACCCACATGCAACCCATGGATGGCTCGTGACAATAAAGCTTTAATTTTAGAGCTTCATGAATTTTGGAACTATTAGAAAAGGGAACAGAGGGTTTTATAACTTCTTTGTCGCACTGTGCTTCCAAAACAATATATTTGAATAACACCAGTCTTGGACAAATCCAAGTTTGTTGTAACTTCCACAGGTACTAAGGCTTCTGAGAGAGCCTGGAGAAAATTCACACATTTAGAGATTGATGCCAGCACAAGTTTACCATGTCTCTCCTCAACTGGTAATCTATGCCATGTGACGATATGGTTTCCCCCTAATTATTACTCTATATATTCTGCACAATCACTAAACTACCTAATATTCTCAAACTTTTGAGTCCCTCTCCCTCTTTTCATCAACAGTTTCCAGAGGTAAATTGAAACCATCAGATTGGAACACTTCCCCCCCCCACAAAAAAAAATTACCCATTTAATACACAACTCTTTCACCCCTCTTCTGGAACAATAGAGAACATGTGCCTTTTGCCACCCACGTGCACTAATCTCATTGCTTCCTACCATTTCAAGAGCCTGTTCTATCAATTACTTCCTTTCTCTTTTGTCTTCAGTTTCTTTCCCATTATCATCCCTCTCTTTTTCTTCCCTTTCTCCTCCCTCCATTACTACTCTTTCCTACGAACATTCCAGATTAAGGCTGTGCCTTCTCTTAAAAAACAAAGGTCCCCCACAATCTCAGGTTCTCCTTTGAGTTTTGATTTTGTTTCTCCTTTATAGCCAAATATTTTCTAATTTATATTCCACTGATTTCTCAGTTGATCCTCCTCTACTGGGTTAGAAATCCTATTCAAGTGAAGATTAAATATACAAATACTGTTTCATTGTTGTATAATAGCAACTGTCAGATGGATTTGATGCTAAAGAAATGTTAGCTACATTAATACATTAAATACAACTACAAAAATGTTCATAATTTCCAAGTTTTCTTTCTTCAAAGAATATACGGAAAGTATAAATATAAATGTACAACTATGTTTTTCTATTAGCCCCTATAAGCATGTACTTTCTCTGGACAAAGAGTTTTTTTAAGTCAAATATCAAGCTGATGTGATTTTCACAGCATTCCAATTTCTGAAAACCAATTACTAAATCAAGAAGGGATATGTGCAATTTCTTAACCTTTTCCAAACATAAAAACTATGGTTTTTTTCTATTTATTTAAACTTATACAGTTAAGGATAATGAAGTAAAAAGTTAAAAAAAATATATACCATTTTGAGCCATAATATGCTAAGATATTTAAAACTGGTGATTTTCCCCAATGGGATTTCAGGTTCTAAATCAGCAGACAACATGTGACTCAGTTCTACCCATTCTTGTTCTCTCATAAACTGAGTGCTGAGCTGGGTACAGTGGTGCACACCTGTAATCCCAGAGGCTTGGGAGGCTGTGGCAGGAGGATCACAAGTTCAAAGCCAGCCTCAACAACTTATCAAGGCCCTAAGTAACTCAATGAGACCCTACCTCCAGATAAAATATAAAAAAAGGGCTGGGGATGTGGTTCAGTGGTTAAGCGCCCCTTCAATCCCTGGTACAAGAAAAAAGTAAGAAAGAAAGAAACTGAGTCCTGACACCATAAATACTAGACTATATTATAGTGATAAAACATTATTTTTTGAAACTCAGTTTTATCTTCTGTGAAATGAGGAAAACAGACTAAGTGATATATAAAGTCTATTTTAGATTTAAAATTCTATACAAAGAGGATTCTGGGTAAGAACTCTGCATTTCATGAAAATTACCAACTGAATACTCAAGGAACAGAAAAATGTACTAGGAATTAAAATCTTGTCTGGGGATATAGCTAAGCAGTAGAATGCTTGCCTCAGATGCACATGTACCTGGGTTCGATACCCAGCACCTCCCACTATAGCAGACTTATGGAAGAAGAAGAGAGGGGAAAAAAGAAAGATTAAATTATAGAATATTTATGATTTGTATTCTTAATGTGCTTTCTTAGGGTACTAGAGTTAAAAATAAAATTAGTCATATTGAGATAACAAAAATCCCAGTAAAAACTACATGGAGATTGAATTACTTTCATATTGCCACTATAATAAAATGCTATACACTTAGCAGCTGAACATACAAATTTATTCTTATAGTTCTGGACATCAGAAGTAAAAAGTGAAATCAAACCAGGGTGCTGGCAAGGCTATGTTCCTTTCCAGGGGCTCTACAGAAGACTCTTTTCTTATGTCTACAGACTGCCCTCATTCCTTGGTTTATGGCCC